ATAACAAAGATTCAAATTGTTTTAGATACTATGGGAAAGGAGAGACAAATGTGGATTAGGGATGGCCAGTATGGACTTATTCAGAACATGCTATTTGAAATTGGCCATGAAGGATTGATTGAACTATGACAAGTGGAAATTGAAAGGGAGAAGGACATTCTTGGTAGAAGGGACTCTATGTGCACGTATAATCTTAGGTAAGCTGAGACTCAAAATATATATTTATTTTGGTTTTATTTATTGTGTTTCTGTGTTACAGAATACTTTTTAAAATATCATCATGTGAGAATATATTTACTAATTTTAAAGACACAGGAAGGGAGAGAAAGAGATAGAGAAACATCAAAACATAGATATGATAGAGAAACATTGATCGGTTCCTTTCAACACACATCTCGACTGACTAGGGATCAAATCCACAACCTAGGCATGTGCCATGTCTGGGAGTCAAACCCTCCAACCAGCTTAGACATCTGGCCAGGTCCTGCACTACAGAACACTCTTATCTAATGAATCATAAAATAATACCACTATGATGTAATTATCTGAAGGATACTCAGACCGACCATTCAGCCTTTTGAATAGCATATAATCACATGGGAAAGGGTGATTACTTTAGATACAGCTGGTTGGGCTGGAGTTGGCTTAAGTGGTGAGCTTGGAAGGCAGTGAGCTGGATAATGGGGGGTGGTGTGATTATCTTACAGTCCTGTAGGTCAGAAGGCCAGCATAGGTCCCATTAGGCTAAAATATTGGTGTTAGTGGGGCCTGGTTCCTTTTTGAAGGCTCTAGGAGAAAATCATTTTCTTGCTCACTTAGGTTGTTAGCAGAATTCAGTTCCTCATGGTTGCAGAACTGATGCCTCCATTTTCTTGCTGGCCACTAGCTAAGGGCTATTCCAAGCTTCTAGAAATCACTTACATATGTTGGCTCGTAAACCCATTCCTCCATCTTAAAAGCCAATTACTCTTCTGCCTTTCACAATTAAGCACTCATCTGATTCCACTGGGCCCACCTTGGTAATCCAGACTAATCTTCCCTTCTCAAAGTCCTCAACCATAATCACATCTGCAAAATCCTTTTTGTCATGTAAAATAACATATTTGAAGGTTCCAGTATTAGACTGTGGACATTTTGGGGAAGGACCCTTACTTGGCCTCTCACATGGTGCATTCATCTCCTCTGATACTTTCTGGAAGTGTAGCAAGTGGCAGAATGGAGAGCTGCTGGTGGTCCTGTTAGGGTGTCCATAGGCATCAGTAACAGTGGTCACAACAGCAAACCTGGAGACTGGGTCTGCTGAGAGAGATGATGGATTTTTAGTTCTAAGTCATTAGTGAACCCAGAGTCTAATGAAATTTTGGGAGTAAAAATTATACCTTTCTAACTAGACATTTTCTTAACATCTACTAGCTGTATGCTAGCCAGTATAGAAAACATGAAATTCAGGCTATAGCCCCTGCCCAGTGGATTCACAGATAGAATTTGGCAGATTGAGAACAAGCATGAAAACAGTGTGAGGCATGCCCTGAGGAAAAAATAAAGACAAGAACAAAAAACAAAATAGAGTTAAGCAGGGATGAGCCACTGTCACAGATGAAAAGAATGTTAGAGCTGTCCAGAGAACCTGAGGCATCATTTAGTCAAGTCCTAGACCTTTTAGGAAGTTTCTTGGGAATGGGCCCTACCCTTGTATCTAGTTCTCTGTTTTATCCCCCGCATGTAAAACATTGTTTACTGACTAGTGGGTGATGAGTAGATGCTTATTGACTCACTAACTAGGTGGAAACTAAAGGCAGAAAGGCAAATTGGTATGACTAAGGTCACATAGTTGGTTTATGGTAGAGTTGGATCTAGAAACTAGTTTTGATTTTTCATTCTTTGTTCTATAAACTTTAGGAGGCAGCTCCTGGAAAATGAACTACTTCAACAAATGATGCCTCTTGTATGCTGATTTTCATTCTACCTTGCACATAGCATCTCTTCTTCTTATATAAAATATTGCTAACAAAATCTATCAAATTAATGTTGAAACATGACTCAAGGGACAAGTTCTGTTCTCAGTTCCTCTATTCACTTTCTTCATGACTGAGGCAAATCACTTCACCTGTCCAAACTCAGTTCTTCACTTGTCATTGGAAAGGCTAAGATTCCTCTCAGGTCTATGTCCCGTGATTCTACATTTCATGAAAGTTAATGAATTAATAAGCTTACCCATGGACTATATGTCTGAATATCTTTATATCAGTGTTCTTTCTTAAAGTGTGGTAAGAACATCACCTTTATCAGAATCACCTGTGGTGATTTTGCAACTGTTAATTGCTGATTTTGCAATTGTTAAAAAAAATTAGTTTGATTAATAATTGTTGGTTTGAAGGGATTTCTATTAGGCCATGCTTCCCAACCCTTTCCACCTCTATAGCAATGGTACCCCTAAAAAGTAATTATATTTATGTGGTTTATTGGGGTAAGAAATCTTAGACTGTCTCTTTGCCAATGCACATCTCACAGAAAACTCTGCTGTAACATCACTGAGAGAGAAAAACAAGTTGCAGAAAAATACAAGTATGACCCCAGTTTTTCAAGACAATGCCAAAACTTTGTACAAGTGTATAAATATGCCTGCATGAATATGTATTATATATTGCACATGACTATGTGTTACATTATGTGAGTGTAGACATATAATATTATAAGAATGTTGAAAGGGGCATACCAGGTTGTTAATGTAGGGGGAGAGAAGTAAAGACAAAGGATAAACATAATTTTTGATTTAATATTCATTGTACTTATTTATTTATAATATTTTTTAAGATTTTATTTATTTTTAGAGAGGGGAAGGGAGGGAGAAAGAGAGAGAGAAACATCGTTGTGTGGTTGCCTCTCACACGGCCCCCACTGGGGACCTGACCTGCAACCCAGGCACATGCCTCGACTGAGAATCAAACCTGTGACACTTTGGTTCACAGCCCAGGCTCAGTCCACTGAGTTATGCCAGCCAGGGCATCATTGTACTTTTTTTAAAAAGTGAAAACACCATATATTTGCCATGAATCTATTTATGCATTTATGTAAGAGAATGTATTTGTATATATAAAGACATTTAAAAATAAAAAATAAAACAAAATAAATAAAATAAAATAAAATAAAATAATGCAGATCCAGGTCCTCTATCTTAGATCCCTTACAGCCGAATCTCAGGGATAGGAGATTTGGAGAGGTGGGTTACCAGCATCATTGACAAGTATTTCAAGTGATTCTGGAACAATGAAGTCTGTAAATTTTTGCATTAGGTGCTAATGTCACCAGCTGTAAACACAGCATATTTGGAAATATCCATCCTGCAATGTCCTCATCTGATTCTCATTGTCTTGGAACATAGTAGATGCATGATAAATAGCTGCTAATTATTTGGGTTATTTGAAGGACAAGTGCGGGCCACAGTGGTGAAAGAAGCAGATCAGCTGGGCAAGATCAAGCTCAGAAGAGATGAGGGAAAGCATCTGAGAACGGTGGGCTGGGCCCCCTTGTCATTTTCAGACATTAAACAAATACTATTTGTTAGACACTAAATTCATGAGGGCAGTTTTCTATGTCTCATTTCATTTACTTCTTAAATAACCCTTTACAGACCTACAGAGGTGGAGTAGCACGTGTAATATCACAATTGGGATTTGAACACATAATTGGGTTTTGGAAGCTAAACAATCAACCAGATACGAGGCTGCTGCTGACAATTGGATGGTGAGCACAACAGATTGTTTGCTCTTTTTCATATCTAGAATCCTGCAGTTCTGCCGTGATTACCCCTGTTTATTGTCACTTATTAGCTGACACCCTAGTCGGCTGTGTGGAAGCAGCTTTTCATACACCCCAACCTGGATCCCACCAAAGCCATATTACAGAAAATGTGATTTTTGTCCATCATCACCAGCTAGTGTTTTCACAGCAGGGGTAAAATATTAATCAGCTGACTTTGCATAGAATAGTGCATTCTTCCAAAAGGCCAAAGCAACTTCCAATTCTTAGGCATCTACCAAATGAAGATAATTCTGGCTCTTTGTAGCTTCGTTTGCTAGGTGCGTTTCTGTTAGTGCAGAAGGAAGATGCAAGTGAAGGAAAGAGATACTCTCAGTTCAGGGGTGAGGTAACGAACTATTAAAATAAATTCCTTACACCTACCTCAGTAACCTCAACCCTGTTGTTAGAGTGAATAGGCAAAAACCAGAGGTGTATATTTTGCGCCCAAATGTTTGGAAGTAGACAAAAACGGCATCTTTTTGTTGTCCACTAATACTAACTTGATCTTTCCACTTCTGTTCCCTTTTGCCCCAAACCATTTCCGAAGTGGCCATTTTGCAGATTCCAGAGAATGGGAGCAGGGACTGGACCCTGGTACTAAACCTTATCTGTTTCCCAAACCTCCGCGGAGCCAATCCAGATCGGTAGCTCCAAGGCTGGTCTCCATGATTTGGCAGAAACCTGGAGTTGGAGGGACCGGAAGACTGGAGGCTAGGATTCACAGGTGGGGTCCACGGTGTGCAAAATTCTTTAACAGGGTTTGGGCCCCTCGGGACCCTGTCTTTGGTGACTGCGACAGAGGTTCTCCGTTCCCCACGCCGAATCGTGGTTAAATAGCCACTCCCTCCCCAGGTGGGAGTCCCAGGCTGCCTTCTCATTTGGGGCAGTGGGAGCAGTACGCATTCTTTTTGCCCACAAAATACCACCTCTTTCCTAAATTACGTTCGGCCATAAGGGCCAATTTTAAATTGATGACAATACAATCAGTCCACCTCAGTGCGTTGCTGGTCAGGATGAGATGTACAATCTCAGTCCGACCCAAAGATCCAAGGACCGGCGTAGCCGGTCTCTGCTCCCGCCTCCCTCCGCCCTGAGTCCCTATTTCGTCGAAGCCAAAGTGCGGAGCGCGGAATTAAGATCGAGAGGAACGGGTCGGCGAAAGGGAGCCGCGCCGCCGGCCTGGAGCCCGGCGCACCGGGCATGCTCAGTGGCGCGGCCGGCTGGGTGGCCCGGCGAGCTGTACCCGGATCTGCTCGGCAGCAGCCGCTGCGACGTGAGCGCGCAGGGGGGCGGCGGCCTTCCCTCGTCTACCTCTTTGCGCCTGGGTCCGGTGGGTGACGCCGAGCGCGAGAGAGATGTCGGATTTCGACAGTAACCCGTTTGCCGACCCGGATCTCAACAACCCCTTCAAGGTGAGCATTGTCCCCAGCATCTCCCGCCGCCGCAACGCGCCGTTGTTTGTGAAAACAGACAAGTTCCTTCGTGTCCGCTGCTCCTGCTCCTCTGCACCTCTCAGCCGCCTAGACTTGGGGCTGGGGCCGCCGCAACGGTTTCGGAGGTCGCGTTCGGCCCCTCTCACATGGGGGTCTGAGCGGAACCTCCTTAGCTCCGCGTCGGGCCGCCCTTCCTCAGGTCCTCGACTGAAAAGCGTCGCGCCCTCGCTCCGGAGTGGGCCCGCGCGCCGGGAGGTTTCCTGGCCAGCCTCTCGGGAGCGGCTGAGTGAGAGCCCTGGGCAGGTGGAGTTGTCACCTGCCAGGCAAGTGTGGCTGGCCTGGCCAGACCGGGAGGCGGCGGAGAGGGGGCTCGCTCTCGGGTGGGGTTGTCATGGAGACTCGAGGCGGCGGCGAAGAGCTGCGTGGGGTGATGGCAGAGGTGTGGAGGAGAGGTGAGGGCACCGAGTACGCTGCAATTAATTAAAAAAAAAGGTTGTGTTTTTATTTTTTAAACTTGTGTTGCGCCCAGACACCACCAGCGGCGCTGCCATCCCCTCCCTACATTTAGGCTGAGCTTGAGGGTCTGATATCAAAGTTAAAAATAAACGCACCTGGAAAAGAATAGTGCACGTGGACGATCATCTTCCTACCTACCTGCTCTTAGGAAGGTAAACGACGGGATATTTTCCAAGCTTCTGGTGCGTCACCGCTCCTCTGGGCTGTATGAGGATACCATTTCCCACTTGAGCTTCTTTCTTTCTTGGAGTCCTATTAATCACACCTTGGGAAGGGCTTGGCCCAGACAGGGAGGCAAAGGAAGGAGACTAAGAAGTTCATCATCTGTACTTAAATTCACGCAATATCTAAAGAAATATCTCTTTAAAATACTCCAGGTTACTTAATGAACTCTGTTGCTTAGCACGCGAAAGTAGTTTCCAAATGTTAGTTGAAATTTCTTCATTTCCCCCGGATATATGCAGTAGTAATCTTATTTTGTAGTCATACAAAATGAAATAGTAACTTTAATTTGTGGTCACATAAGTGTCACTTCTGGCTTGTTGAGTTTACATCTCTTTTTACTCCTGGTTTTATCAGGAATCTTGAAAGAGGAAAAATATCCCCATTCTGATTATTGGCCTGATAATTTGATGAAGGATTATGTTAATTAGATGACTCTGGTTATAATTGACAACTTGACTCTGTATAAATGTAGAGTAGACCCTGTCACTATCCCTTTGCCTCTAATGTCACTTAAGAAAATTCGGTACAACTGGCCTGGAACTTTGAGGTTTTTACAGATGATGTGGTTGCACTTCAAGGAGATTCCCACCCCCTAGAATTTTAATATTTAGTATTCCATCATTCCATTTTGTAGAAAATTGGATTATTGAATCATAGACATTCTAAAGAGCTATTTCATAACTTGCCAAATGGGTTTTATTTTAAAATATTTTTAAAGATATAACATTAAGAACCTGTTAGCTTTTCCTAATTCAGATAATTCATTGATGCTATTTATTCAGCATTTGATGGCATGACTGTCTATTTTCTCTTTGGTCATTCCATTTCATAGCCCATTTACCTAGCTAGTTCTCTCCTTAGTGCTTAACATTGTCTTCCTCTGAGCCCAGGCTGGTCTTTTGTGACATCGAATGTTGCCATCCTCTGCTACACATAAAGTTGCTATAGTAATTCTAAACCCCAAAATAGTTCTCATTCATTGTGGCATAAACTTATAAACTTTTTTTGTTCTTTGTAAGTGGATACATTCAGGATAATTTTTATTCAAGTTCATAAAATATTTCAAGGGCTGTATAATTTAGGCCTAAAGAAGACTTAGTTGTACACATGTTGCTGTATGGTCTTTCCCTGTTTTTGGTGACGGTCACAGCACAGTGTATCTGACTTGGCACCTTTCCATTTGTGCCCAGCTGCCCTTCGTCTTCTCAGAGTAAAGCTTTGAGTTTACAGCACATTCTTTCCTTCTACTTTTGCCTTCATTCTGTGTCCTCTCTACTTAAATGTAAAAAGTTTCTACATTCATCTTTGTATTACTATATGACCATCTTTCTTTTCAAATATGTTCTTTCTTTCAATATTATAAAATAAAGGTTGTATTTTCAAAATATATGGTATTTCACATTTGGCAACCACCAAATTTCTTGATTAAAAGCTACTTGATTTCCATTGCTTTTTCTGTTTTTTAAACATTTCTTTCACTTGTATGTTAGGAACATTTTTGTTAGCACATCTTCACTTGAGCCATGTCATGAAAATAATTTCTGAGGATACTGTCTTTAGATAATGTGACTACAGTGGTTTAGTTGATTTTATTGGCTGTTGTAAAGTTATTTTCTGGATTCATTTTTTTGAGTGCCAGCTTTATTCTAGTGGTTGTGAATGAGTTAATGAGTTTATGGCATTTGAATAGTTTTCATTGTGCATGAAGAAACTTGGAGTAACTGGAAATGTGTAGTAATCTGAAAGAAAATAGATTATCAATTACATGGCTGTTTCTGATAATCCAGTCTTGAGTTGTAATAATGTTGTTCTAAACCTAGAGAGGAAAAACATCATCTGTATGGTCACTGTATTTATTGAATAACTGTCGTATGTCCTCGTTCTTTTCAGTTATTCATTCTTTCATTTTTTAAAAGATTTTATTTATTTTTAGAGGGAAAGGGAGGGAGAGAGGGAGAGAACTATCACTGTGTGGTTGCCTTTCACACGCCCCCTACACGGGAACTTGCCTGAAAAGCAGGAACGTGCTCTGATTGGTAGTCAGTCGATCCTGGGTCCCCTTGGTTTGCAGGCCTGCACTCAGTCCTCTGAGCCACAACAGCCAGGGCAATTATTCATTCTTTCATTCAAAAGATATTGAAGAAATATCTCTGTTTTTAAGGACATTAGCCTAACATGGAGACAAGCATGCTTGGAAAAGTGAAATGAAAGAAGAGAGTTCAATAACTAGCAAGGAGATCAGTAATATAGGCTCTCATAAGTCAGTGTAAGAGTGTGTAAGTGCTAGAAGGAGGACAACTTGTTCAAAGAAGGGAACAATAAGTGGTCAGAAAATCTTCATGCCTCTTAATACTTCAGTATATTAATATGGTAATTGATTGTTAGAAAATTGATTTTGGAACTAACATTTAGTGTAATTTTTAAATAGAATCAAAATTTCAAAGTTGGAAAAGGAAACTCTTAAGATGCATTTCATTGTATCTCATTCTATGGTTGAAAAAAGGCTCAGAGATACGATATTCTATATTTGGCAACCATCCTAATTTCTTCTTGATTAAAAACTATTTGACTTCCATTGCTAACTTGCTACTTGCTCATTGTCTTATGTCCAGGTGCAGGCAGTACAAAATTGGTATTAGAACTTAGATCTCTGGATTTCATGTCCACTGCTAATGATGGCACTTTATTTGATTGCATTTTATACACCAAAAATCTTGTTTTCTATGATTGGCGTATTTGATCTTGGCTTTGTCCCTAACCCTCTGTGAGACTTTGGAAAGTTACTTAGCCTCTCTACACCTCAGTTTACTATTCTGTAAAATAGGATAATGGTACTGTCTTCACAGGGTTGTTAACAGGAGTGGATGAACATACATTTACCATGTAATAAGTGCTCAGTGTGTGATGGCTTTAATGTAATAATAAGTAGTATTAATAGTAATTCAAGAAATTATATTTAGTTATACATAACTATATTATTTTAGCTTATTAATTTGGTGAAGTTCATGTTCCTTTTGAATCTTCTAGAGTGGTAGTAGTAGTTTTTTGGTAGGTCATAGTCATGAGGAATTTTTAAAAAATTATTTTATTTATATATTTTTAGAGAGCGGGGAGGGAGGGAAAAAGGAAAGGAGAGAAACATTGATGGATCAGTTGCTTCTCCCACGCCCCCAACCAGGACAGACCAGTAACCCAGGCAGGTGTCCTACAGACCAGTAACCCAGGCAGGTGTCCTACCAGGAATCCAACCAGTGACCCTGTGACTTGCGAGAGGATACCCAAGTGACTGAGCCACAGTCAGGGCATACTCATGAGGAATTGAGGCCAAAAATAATTAAGTGGTTTGCCCTAAGTCACTGTGCTACACTAGATTCAGGTTGTCTGAATGCTAATGCTTTGTCACTACATGTGCTTCCTCTCTAATTAAATAACTCCAATAAAATTGAGCACAATGTCCATTTTGTTTTGGCCTCAAAAATTAATTCTCTAATTTAAACTAACTCTCTTAAAAATGTCTTACAACTCAGCATTCTTATTTGTGTTATCTTTTAAGTTACAATAATTTTAATGGTATCCTAAAAGTTTAGTTGAAGTTAAAAATTGAAAACTTTTGTCATTAAAAAGTGACCCATAATTCAAAGATGTTACCCTACTGTTTTCATTTACCTTAAGTTTATGTCAGTCCTCCTTTATCCATTTATAATTTAAGACTGGAGATCGGCTGTCACTAGGAAAGGATTTTGAGGATTTCTTCTGTGATAGTCTTAGCTTTGCAAACTTGTCTTTCAACATTATTTTGGACATAGTGATAGTAGTCTATGGTCTGTGGTATTTTACATTTGGGTCAACTGTGTGAGTGAGTTCCCACTCTCTTTTTCTCAGGTTATTATTTTAAAAAAGCCTTTGTTGAGCTGCTGATTTTGTTTCATCAAATTAAGATGCATACTTATTTACCACTGTCTCAGTTAACTGTTTCTATATAACAAATAATCCCAAAATGTACTGGCTTAAAACATTTTGCTCACTGTTCTGTTGTTTGAGCTAGACTTAGCTGGATGGTTTATTTTTTAATGCAATTGCCTAGAGTCATTCATGTGGCTTTAATCATCTAGCCTGGCAACTTTCTACTGGTGTGCTTGCAAGAATTTTGCAAGAACATGTAATACTTGACTATTTAGTCAGGGGCACTGACCTCTTTTCCCTTAGATTTTTAAATTAAAAAATGGCAACAACTAACA